ACACACACACACACACACACACACACACACACACACCCCTCACTTCCTCTCCCCATGCCTCCCCCACCACTCCTGCCTCTCTTTTTTTTCGTCTCGGCTGAAAAGCAGAACAGGAAGCGTGCGAGTTTAGCGCCGACCACTCGGCTGGCATATAGATGACCCACTTCTCTCCGCTGCCAGTCGTAGCTCCCGCCACATGTGGGGCTCCCCTCCCCTCCCCCGTTTCACCCCGCAGCGTGCGTAATGCAGGCGCACATGCATGAACAAGCAGCTCTGGTCGGCTAAATATCAACGTCCCGACAACATCGCCCACATATCCGAGAGTCTTGGAGACAGAACTGCAAAGCAGAAAAAGAGGGGAGGCCGAAGTTTGGCAGCAGGGCTGTTTATTCCCTCACCGCGTGAAGCCAAAAATATCATTTGCGTACAAAAATTTTTTTTACTTCCACCAAAAAATATATATATATGCAAGTCTGAACAGATTAGGATTGGTCAGGGCCTGCTGTTCCAGTGTAGTCTTCTTTTTTATTAAATGGGAAACATGATGGCTATCGTGCAATAATCTGGAAGCAGTTTTGGTGGAACAGATATCCCAACTTTTTGAAATTCACTTGTCAAGGCTACATTTCGAAAAATTCAGTGATACTTTGATGCAGCTCATCTTTCAGGGAAGGGGAAATGTGATTATTTTCCGTCTTGGTGAAAGTGACGTAAGAAGATTGATCCCCATCTCACATCAGCGTGATAAACCCAAAACTACAGCCGGCAGTTCATTTAAACTGAAATCAATCAGAAACGTCTGCTCTGACATGACATTAGAAAATAATTTGCCCACCAGGTCTTGCGAACAGTTGAGGGATTTAATCTCACTCTTCGAAAACGTGTATGATAAACGAGTCGGCTCGTTTATCAGAAAGTTGAAGATAAATGTGCGCTATAGGATGGTCCCTAAAGGTTCTGCAGAGTGGCCCAACGAAAGTCAAATGATATTAGCTGAACCAGAGCTGATAAATCAAACCCATACACGGTGTGAGGTAAATAAACATCTGAGCTGGTTGATGTTTAATGCCTGTGAGCGTCTCTATAGAGCCTCGGTGCCAGTCAGAGACACAGGGCATCGTGGTAAAAAGAGTAAAGGAGACACAAACAAAGAGACTGTCATAATCAGCCATGTGGTGACACTTYCCAACAGTATCGAACTGCGCTGAGCCAGGCTAGCTGTCAAACAGCAAAGGGGGCTAAGAGATGCAGCGGGATGAGTAAGGGCGACGACAAACACAACCCATTTAGGTATTGGCTCAGACTAAAAATAATGCTGTCCTGTCCTACGAGCTCCTTGGAAAGCAGCCAAAAGTTATTAGAATTCGCGCAGCGTGTTAAAGTTTGCTGCTCGTGCTGAACACTGCATGACCTTTCACCCAGTGCTGCTTCCGTCACTCAGCTGCTCTAATGCCAGTTGAGATTGTAGATAAAACTCAAGCTGGACTTGATGGAAACGACACCCTCGGGATGACGGCCGTTGTCGTCTTTCGGCCCCCACGCTCACGCCGGCTTCACAAGCCAGCGCAGTTGAGGTTACGTCCTTGTCGTGAACCAGCGGGGGGTCGAGCTCACAACCACACAAACACCCCGAGGGGAAAGTAGCTGGCCTGGCATCCTATCTGACTGCCACAGCGGTGTCACGTTGGCAGCGTGAGCTCATTTATCTAGGGCCCGTCTGCACGTGGACCAGCTGAGCACATGCACTAACTATTGAAGCCATACGCACAAACACACCTGTTGACTAGCATTCAGGAAGTGGTGTGCATCTTTGTGTGTTGTGTTGGGGTTTGGGGGGGGAAATGAGGGTACAGAGTGTGCCTACTAGCTGTCAGCAGTTTTTTGTGTTCAGTTACAGGCGAAGGATGTCAAGTGTCTTTTGTATTTGAGAAAAGGATGTGTCCTTAAATACGTTTTGTTGTATAAATGGTGCCAATTTAGGAATAAGCCAAATCTATGCAGAGAGACACTGATAGTCCTGTGAAGTCAGAAAATCTTGACACTTCCTAAAGACTTTTCATCTAAGCTTTTTTTATATTCCCAGAGAAACACTGCAGCTAGAACCACGTTTGTCGGGTTGTGCCAAGAAAACAGGCGCCTCCTCTCCTAAACCCACATCCTTACAGTTCTTCATAGGGCTGCTACCTTCGCTTGACTTGTTCTCATTGTTATTTAACCTCGTCAAGATGAAAAACAGCTCAGGATCACCTGACCTCATTTCCTGTCTACTTTGAAGAAAGCTGACGTTAGGGTTCCTACATCTTTATTTTTATGTTATTCAGTCGTTTAAATGTAAACCCCAAGTGTAGCACAAAAAATGACACGAGAAGCTTGGTTTGTTTTCTGGAAATGCAGCATTGAAATAGGATTGGATTGTTTGAACAGAATGTGTTTTTTTTGTTTGTTTGCTCAGTTTTGATTTTTACTCCAATACTTGAAAATGGCTTGATTCTGGCAATTGTTTCAAACTGTGAAAATGCACAAGAGTGGGGAAACAACCCCTGAAAAAAAAAATCTTTTTTTCACAAAAGAATAAAAAGTGTTCAAGAGTTCAGAGCTGTGATTTCTTTTCTTTTCAGCTTCGATGTAACGATAAATGGAAGTTTTCAACAATGACGTTACTTCCAGGTTCCACAACATAACCTCATTAGCTTCTGACTGCTCATACGGTGCCTTCAAATGGTTTAATTGTCACTGAATTTATCCACATTTTTCCATTAAAGTTATAGTTGTAACGTGACAAAATGGAAAAGTTCAAGGTGGGTAATTCTCTCTTTACTGCACTTGCTTAAAATCTGAACATTATCTTTATTTTAGATTGAATTATTGACACAAAAAATAGACATTTCCAGGAGCATCTTTTCAGTCAAAACCATGGAACAAAGATTCATGGTATAAAGGAATAACATAAACAGTAATACATTTTTTGCCTTTATAATGGCAATGAAATTTTTATAAATAAAAGGTTTTAGAAATAGTTTGGTTCTTAATAAAAGCAGCAATTTCATGAAATTTAATTAGAACAAAGAGGAAACATGCACACAAACCAAGAACTTGACAAATTGACCCCATGTGGCTATTTATACTCTGCTCCATTGATTCCTGGCCTATTTATCATTTAATAAATCATGTAAAAGCTGATGAAGAGCATTCATTGTCTGAACAAAAAGCCACCTGTGACCTTTTCAAACCCGCACCTTCATGTGTGGACGGGCCTGCTAACGACCCGAAATCAGCTCGTCAGGTCTTTGTTATCCTCCTCACATTCCTGTACGCCATACTTGTTGCTATTTTYACATGGCTGCAAACCACCTGTTGCTATTTGTTCCACTAAATAATCGCAGCAACATGGTGCCAGTTAAAGCAAGACCTTCCTAATATTACTCTCACAGAGCCAGTGTCAACATACTCAACAAGGACTTTCATCTTAATCAGGCCTTTGTCACTTGGAGCAGGACCAAAGCCAGCTAGCAAATAGACTTGCGGTGTTGAAAGAAAGTTTTCAGATCCAGATTTGGAACATTGACTTCTTGTTTCATACAATTTGATTACAATTTAAAAATTGAGATTCTTTAACCAAGAAGCGAGTGGTTATTTTAACCATAACAGCAGCAATAATCCAACCTTTCCAGACAACACTCTATTAAGGAACGATTGTGAATCGAATTTCAAACGTGCAACTCCCTCAAAAGGCTTTGAGACTTTCAGTCTGTACAGCAGGTGCCATCCCGAGAATATTATGTAACTTTAATTGAAATAAAAAAAGCTGCCTGCAACAAAGCAGAGAAATCCCTCCTAATCTTAACCCCTGCAGTTACATAAGAGGGAGACGTTTAAAGCAGCCGTACATCTGGACTGAGAGACCGCAGCTCTTGTTAGGACAGTGACCGGTGAGCGCGTAGCAGAAAAATAACTTCCGTTGAAGGATAAATCATGAATATTTTCTATAAATCTTAGTTTTAGGTTATTCTAATGAGGAATTTTTGATGTTATTTTAAAGCGGAAACCTCATACAATATTTGGATATTAAAATTTACAAGCTGGAGAAAAAAATCTTTGCTAGTTTGCAGAGAAAATGTTAAAAATGTAAGGCTTTTCTGCTAAAAAAAAAAAAAGGGCGGCCCAAAAAATGTGCTTAACATTCTATTTCAGATAATTTATCTGTAAATAATGTATTTATTAATTACATTTTGACAAGATGCAATTATTGCAAACATTATAATCAATGTACCATAGCTGACTACTTCTCCACGTACCACTTAGACACTTAATCCTCAGTTTAATGTGATGGGTCATGAATATCTTACCTGCTGTAGATAGCTTCTCAGTTTGAAGCAGAGTTTATTCAGACCGGATTGACGAGCTAACGGCTAGTCTGTAGGGCAGGGACCAAAGTGGGTTGCTAATTTTATTTTAACACTAATCTATAAAATATTCTGTTTGCAAATAACTACAACTTTTATGTAATTAAGAATTAATAGCAATCTGTCTTTTCCCAGCTCAGACTAGCCATTAGCTCATCAATATGACCAGAACTAATCTACTGTATGACAATAAAATCAAAACAATATATTTTAAGGATATGTCTTACAAATCTTGTCTCTGTGTTATAAAACTAAAACAGTAAACAAATAGGTGTATTTTATTCATGAGTAATCAAAATCGAATCAAAATGCACTAAAGTGCAAAATTTACAAAAACAAAGTTTTTGCTAATTTTATTTTGTCGGCAACCTTCAAACGTGGCTTTAAAACTAAACAAAAGGTAAGTGGTATGTTATTAAAACAGCAAAGAAAATTCTATGAAAAGAACACCGTGCTGAATTATTAAAACACCTAACTGAAAAGCCTCTTACATCAGTTCATTAAATTAAAACCCAAAAGAACAGGAAGCACTTTAAAAGGATGTAGATT